ACGAGTTATCCCATTTTATCCTCACAGGAATCATTTGAGTCCGCCAAGTGTCTTGCCTATGGCCTCCCACTGAGCATGATGGCTTTGATTGCAAAGATAAAAATTCACAACATTTTTTTAAAAAGAAGAAGAAGAAGGGAGGGAGAGAAAATAGAATGAATAAGCTACATCTTGAGTAATTTGGAAAGTGCCTTCAACACATTTATTATGTAAATTGCAAAAAATGGGTTTGCAGCAGGGGGCTAAAGAACCCACTGTGACTTCTGCTTTAATTGGGACTAAGGGTTAATGGAAAAGAGCAGTTTTCAAAACTCACTAGCCTTGTTGTGAATCTAAAACTAAGGGAGATTAGTCTTTGTGAACTCTCACTGTTCGACTTGATACCTGTCAGTAAAACATGATGTCAATTTTATTGTTATAAGCATGTGCTTTTAAATCTTGCCCAATATCTGATTAATAATATTAGCCAATGATTAGGTATTCTGTCAACCTAGGATAAAGGGCTTGGTGGAAAGCTATTGGAGGCCACATTTCAGTAGGGGGCAGGGCCAGACCCAACCACCCAGCCACAAAGACAAAATCATTTTCACAGAATCTGATTTTCCATGGAAACACAGGGATATATCTAATTCTTAGTAGCTGTGCTCAAGTTTTACCTTCCATTTTCCACATAGACAACTGTAAACATTTCTTAATGCTGCCCGGCGTCCTTTATATGTCTCAGCAGAAGAATGCAAATAGTGTCGATGCTCAGCTGACCTGCAAGCCCTGCTTTATAGGTATTCAAACCCTCAAATTCCAAAATGCAAATGCATCCCGAGAATTGCGTGCATGCAGTTGGAAAATGCACCGACAGCTTTTTTGCAAATTTATGTGGAACACACCTACCTCTCTGCCGCGTTGCTTTCACCTCTGATCTATATTCTACCTGCAGATGAAGGAGCTGCAATTGCACACTTTGCACAACATCAACGCCCCATTCCTTGCTCCTCCTAGTGTACAGCTGATGGGTGGGAAGGAACCTACAAGGTTGACTATAATTTGGCTGGGAGCCAACTGCACCCAGTCCCTGAAATGTCCCCGTCAACACTATTTCTCAGCAGCCTTGTAGGGATTCAGAATTTCACAGCCCTACATGGATATGTTGGGGATTGAACCTTGGGCATTCTGTATGCAGCACATGTCCTCTTCCACTGAGCTATGGATCTTGGCTAGCATTGCTAGTTTTCCAGTGGAATATACTGAAATTGAGGACCATGATCTGAAATTCAGTTTAACATATGTAGTGTAATCCGAGGCTCTGATTTTGTCAAAATGTCTACCAGCAAAATTTCATCTCCCTCCTCCCCCCTGGAGATGTTCATTTATTTCACACTCAGCATCTGGGCATATCAGATGTTTTGTGCTACAAACCATATATCTTTAAGTCTTATCTGATCTCCCCATATGCTCTGGCCATCTGGAGCGTTGCCTCATGCCCAGTATAAGTGAGAACAGCCTGGAAGCCTCACTCAAACGTTCATATCTTGTTATGTACAGACACTTCTATGGAATTAGTCACTGCAGAGTTCTGCAGCCCTCTCCACATATTATTAGCACACACTTACATGACTATCTCGCACAATTTCAGCTGCTTAGGTGTGCTGTAAAGCTTTATTCTGCTGTGCTGGTGCTGCTCTGCTGACAACTTGTCCCATGATCGTTTATTTCTTAAAACGTTTTCATTTTAATTATAGGAACATCCGAAGAGCCTGCTAGATCATACCAGTGCTCCATTTAGTCCAGCATCCTGTGCTCACTATGGCCAACCATATGTCTAAGGGAAGCCTGAAAGCAGAATGTGAGCACAACAGCACTCTTTGCACCTGAAATTCCCAACAACTGATATTCAGAGAGCACAATCATTGATAACTTTATTATCCATGAATTTGTCTGATCCTCATTTTAAGCCATCCAAGTTGGTGGCCATTACTACATCTTCTGGGAGTGAATTCTATATGTGGTTCTATTATATGTGGGAAAGGAGCCAAATATATTATTTCCTGGGCTCAGATATACAAGCTTCAGATGATTGTGCTTGTCTCACAAAGTACCGTAAGTATTGCAAACCTATAATCCTTCTTGGATTAAAGTCTTTGCTTCCCTGGGCAGTGCTACATTGAAGCCATCTCCTTCCACTCATCTGCCCTTAACGTAGAGGTTTTCAACCATTTTGAGTCCATGGCTCCCTTGACCAACTACATTCTTTCTGTGGCACCTCTATGGGGCTCAGGACTCCAGTTATGTCAACCCTTGCCTGCAGAGCTGGCAGCCCTTCACCCTTTTTTGAACACCTTCCCTTGTGGAGCCAGTGTGGTGTAGTGGTTAAGAGAGGTAGTCCCGTAATCTGGTGAACCAGGTTCGCGTCTCTGCTCCTCCACATGCAGCTGCTGGGTGACCTTGGGCTAGTCACACTTCTTTGAAGTCTCTCAGCCTCACTCACCTCACAGAGTGTTTGTTGTGGGGGAGGAAGGGAAAGGAGAATTTTAGCCACTTTGAGACTCCTTAGGGTAGTGATAAAGCGGGATATCAAATCCAAACTCTTCTTCTATTCTTCCTCTTTCCTCTCCTCTCATTGTGGAGCCTCCTTTCCTCTCCCCTCTCCTTGGAAGTCCTTTGGGCAGCAGCAGCAGCTGCCCCTGGTCTCTGAGCTGCCTCCTTGCCCCAAAGAGAGGTGCTTCCTCACACTGCCCCACAGGGGCCTGGGAAGCACCCCCTGGCCAGCCGCAGAGGCACCATTCGCCTGCGGAGCTTGTAGCCAGGGCTGCTGCAACAAACAGCTGTGCAAGCCTTTGGGAGGCAGAGACACAAGAGGGCATTAGAGGAGGAAGGGATGGAAAGAGGAATAGAAGCCAGTGTTGCCCACGGCACCCCTGACCATCATTCAAGGCACCCTAAGGTACTGCAGCACACTGGATGAAAACCACTGCCTTTAAGGAACAGCTGAGGACAAGCAGCCTCATAATTACAGTGGTACCTCGGGTTACAAACACTTCGGGGTACAGACTCCGCTAACCCAGAAGTAGTACCTTGGGTTAAGAACTTTAGCTCAGGATCATAACAGAAATTGTGCAGCAGCAGCAGGAGGCCCCATTAGCTAAAGTGGTACCTCAGGTTAAGAACGGTTTCAGGTTAAGAATGGATCTCCGGAACGAATTAAGTACATAACCTGAGGTACCACTCTATATTTTCCCCTGAGCTCATCTCCCATTTCTTAAGGTGAGCTGAATATCCATAAACAGCACTTGGCTTGTGACTGGGTCTATAAGATTACAAGCAGCCGCTGGCTGACTGTTAAGGTTTCCTCACGGAACCAGATAACCTCCAGTTTCCCCAACTTCCTACTGCTGGGTTAGGATGAAATGCCCCTTGCTTCCAGCGAAGAGAAAGAGAGATTCTCCTTTGATCCCTCCAACTTGCCATTCACCTGGGAGTCACCAAGCTAGGCTGAGTGTCTGTAGCCATGCTTCTTTTCCCTTGGTGCAGACTCAACCTTGTTCTGTACTCCAGACTGTAAATTTCTTCCAAGGTTTACGTGGCCTGAGGTCAGCCAATGACACGCCTCTCCTCACTCAATGCTTCCTCAGATGTTAGCCATGTTTTGGAGGGAAGGGAGATGCACATACTCTCAGTGCCCACTTGTGATATCAGGAACAGGTGCCAGGACTTGCACCTACCCCAATATTTTGCAGAATCAGCAGAGGAAGGAAGAATCACAAAGCTCTAGCAGTTCCTTAGATCATGTCAGATAAGATTTCTCCTCCATTCTCCCCATGCACTCACAAACTCTCTGTCTCTCTACTTTCATTACCAGTCAAACACCATCCCATTTCTCTCCCATTTCCTAATCTGACTGTTACTGTTGCTCCAGTAGTAAGAGGAAGGAAAGGGGGAGACCCTGCTATCATCTTGGGAACTAATATTCAGTGCAAGGCACAAGTAGTCTTAGGAAAATTACATTGCCTCGTTCAAGTATGCTTGGGGAAACCAAGTGTCAGAGGATGAAGGAGGGTGAACCATGGAAGATGTACAGATGGGGATCCTTGGAAATGTACGTGTTTTAGAATTTTGCAATACAGTTCTCCAACCCAAAAATGTGTGCAACAAAAAACATATAATGGGTTTTTACATAAGAGCTTACATAATGAAAATAACATTCAAGAAAGCATTGGATTAGATTGCCTGCAACAATATGCATATGAGACCAAATTGCATATA